TTCTACTGCTTCCCTGGGATTGGCAGGACTTGCCACTCCATGACTAACACCTACCAATTTAATGGTTGCAACACTGGAGTCAAATGCTCCCTCTAGCTCAGGCATAGGCAACCTTGGCCCTCCAGATGTTTTGGGACTACAACTCCCATCATCCCTAGCTAACAGGACCAGTGGTCAGGGATGATGGGAATTGTAGTCTAAAAACATCTGGAGGGCCGAGTTTGCCTATGCCTGCTCTAGCTGGTCCCTTTTTGAATCAGTCGCTCAGTCTTCAGAGGCAGCCCCATGTAGAGTGTGTTGCAGTAATCCAAATGTGATTAAAGCATGTGTCACCATGGCCACATCTGACACCTCAAGAAGCTGGCACAGCTGACTTTCCTTTGACTTTCTTCATAATCTTCCTTATCCCTTCCTCGTTTTCATTTGCTTGATGCATTCATATTTCATAAAACAAGCTGTCTTTAATAACCTGATACGAAGCCCAAAGATCTACCCTGATGTTCAAAACGTTGCCCACACATTTTATGAAACATTTTCCTCTGTTCTTCCCAGCCACTTTTTCTTTCCTTAAGGGGGGTGTCATTATTATGTTCTCTCCCTGCCTGTTAGTATAATTTTAATTTATCATTAAGCATCACTTTGCTTTTTAACATAAAGAATTCAGTGTGCTTGATGGAGCAGCACTTCATGGAAAGTTAGTTCCTCCACAGCAACAACTGTTTAGAAGAGAGTTTATTAATTTATCAGAGCCTTATGTTCAATTTCAGATTTTTTAGCTTAGGAACTAACAATCAACCGCACCTGTTACCAATTAAAGTATTAATGGCACATCAATCAAAGAAAAATCACTGCAAAAGGAGATTACACAAGCTCTGTACTCATGTCAATTTTTTTTGGAAGTCATCCTTTATTTCCCAAAAGAAATTAAATCCATAAACTATCCACGACCAATTCCAGACGTGGCTTTTTTGCTCCGATGTTTGTAGAGGCTTAACACCTGAGCCTTGGAGGGCAAGTATTTTGTTTCAGTGAAGGAACTGGGTGTCCTGTATTTAAAAGGCAATAATGTTGTTTTAAACACAGATGCCAGCAGGACACTCTAAATGCTTTTACAAAGCTTGACAAAAGTTAATTACTAGGTTTACAAAGAGCCATAAAGCGCTAGTAAAGGGGGAGATTGATGGGATCTTATTGTTACTCACAAGTTTTTATGTTTACCTGTAACAGGCAAGGTGCTGTGGCACCGGGGAGAGAAATTGCATGGGAGATGTTGTACTTCATCAACCTTTTTATTTTGGACAAATACTAGAGAGCTTATCCTTATATGGACAGACTTGCGATATTAGGACTGGTGTCGCACAGTTTGGGAGATTTTTTTTTTTTTTTGCTAAAAAAAAATCAGGAAAACAGTACTGTCAGTGAAAAAAATAATTGCCAGTATTGACTGCTCTCTCTCTCTCTCTTTCAAAATAGCAAAGAATGTACAAACTGGGTATCATGGATATTCTTTTGTAAATGAAATGTGCTCATTAATTGACATGAACTAACACATATGGTATGTGGGTGTCTGAGTGCAGGAATGTGATGAAATTTGGGAGTTGGGTGTTATTGTACTTTTCTAGTTCATTTTTGTGGGTCGCTTGAGCTTTCTTCCTGGTGGAGACAAAAGGTTATGTTCAGAGTAGCCCAATGGACTTGAGCTAACCATGACGAGAAGCTGAAGTCTGTTGATTACAATGGGTCTACTTTGAGTATGACTTGGTCGGATGCTTCCCAATAGATTTGAAACAGAATTTATTTCAGTATTTTTATCCCAGTTGACTAGCCCAGCTCTACGATCTCAAAGTGGGTTCCAACATCAAATTGTAGATGGGCAACGCAACCCGAGGAATTCTGGCTGTGAGTAGTAGGCATCATTGATCTTAGCTGTGTATACAACTGCAGATTTAACATCTCTAGAAGAATCACTTACTAACAGCCAGGGCCAGGGATCTGTAATGGACTTGTTTATTTTGTGGGTCAAATAAATATCTGGTCATGCTTTCCAGTTTGTCAGAGAGCCTGAAAAACCCTAAAAAGGACATTCACATCTGTACAACAACTGAGTTTCTTCATCTCTTGGAAAATAAAACACTTGGACTTCTGTTTTCCTGTTTGAGAAATGGAAACATATTTTTAAAAGGGGTTTTAACACTTAAAATACTCGATTCTTTCTTCTTCTTTTTTATAAAAAAAAGGCCTGTCAGATTCCTTCCTCTTGTTTGCTTCAGAAAGTGGTGCTTTGATTGTCCATTAGAGAGTTGTTTACATTTCTCCAAAAGCTCCATTTAGTTTTCCTGACAAGGTGGAATAAGTGACTGACTGTGATGGATAGAGGCACCTGTCCTAATGGCTGCTCAAACTGTGCCCACTAGTGCACGTTACATTGATAAATTGACAACAGTTGGGACATGCTCTGCTAACAGCAAGAATGAGGCTACTAGGACAAACACAGGCGGTTAGACAGTCTGCTTTAATATTCTTGGGAAAGGTATACAGACTTCTAATCTAACACCCCAACAGCTGCAGTGAGAAATTAGTGCGGAGGCTGGGATTCTTTGTTACCTCAGTATTATCATGGGTAGCTAGTTTGGGAAGTATACTTTGCAGTCAAAGTGTTTCCCAGTCTTCTTGTTGAATACGCACCTGCAATGCTTGCATCTGGGACTCCAATTTCCTAAAACGGAGGGCGGGGGGGGGAGTTTATCTACACCTTCTCGCATGTAGTGTGTGAAGGGGAGGAAAAAGGAGTATAAAGGCACGTTAGCCTTCAAAGCGGTAAATCTGAAGTTGTTCTTGCCATCCTTAACAAGGAATCGATCACCCCATCAGTTCTCAAGCCAAATCACAGAAATGGAGATGACCGTCTCAGCCTCTACTAGGACACCGTAGAAAAAGAGAGGAGACTCAGGTAGGGCGATTTATTGTGATAAATGATAACCCCAAGTCTCCCTCTCCCTCTGTATGCATAAAAATCTCCGTGCCTTGTGATGACATCCAGTTAGGTGTTTCATCCACATTGCTGACAGCGACTGGGAGAGTAGGGCTCAAGCACGGTTTGATAACGTCAGGCTACAGGTACATCTCATTACATGTGATACAAGGAGAAAGGGCTAATTTTGGGTAGCTTCCACTTTCTTGTTTCTCATCATGCATAGTTCTGTCATAGTGTGGTTCTTCCAGGGCCTTCATTGCTGTTGGGTGCATTGAGTTGCATAGTGATGAGATGGTTCAGTCCCACAATTTTGATGGAAAACATACTTGACCCTGTGACCTGACAGTCATTTCCATGTTCATGATGCCAGTTTCCCCTGCCAAGTTACTGTGTTTATGGCAGTGACTGGATAATTTGTGGCCCGTCGGATGTTACTAGATTCTAACTTGCACAATCTTTGACCACTGGCTAGGCTGTGTGGGCCTGAAAGGAGTTGGACTCCAACAACACCTGATTCTTCATCCCTGGTTTATGCGAAGCACATCTGACTGGTTGTCCCCCACCCCAAATAAATAACCCTCCTCTTTATTGTGGGAGGAATTCAACATACAGTGGTACCTCAGGTTACATACGCTTCAGGTTACATACGCTTCAGGTTACACACTCCGCTAACCCAGAAATAGTGCTTCAGGTTAAGAACTTTGCTTCAGGATAAGAACAGAAATCGTGCTCCGATGGTGCGGCGGCAGCAGGAGGCCCCATTAGCTAAAGTGGTGCTTCAGGTTAAGAACGGTTTCAGCTTAAGAACGGACCTCCGGACCGAATTAAGTACTTAACTCGAGGTACCACTGTACTGGTATGGCAAAGGAAGCTTTTCAGCTTGTCAGATAGAATGATTCTCCCTTTCCTCCTGCTGTTCTGTTCTTGGGGTTCTCCCAACCCGGAGCCGGTTTCAGGGGCATGTGGGGAGAAGAGAGGGGAAACCCCCATTGCACTGGCTTCCCTTAGCAGGACTTGTCGGCTGAATCCCACACCATGTTTTGTTATTTGTTATGGGAAATGTTTGCGGGATACTTAAAAAGCCAAGTGTAAAAACGCAAATAGGATTTGAGTAAGAACAGCAAGTGGGGTTGGACTTTTTGTTTTTCTTGTGAGACGGTATCGAGTAACTATAATATTCAGCATAAACTGATTTTTCTTAGGGAACCATGGAGGAAAGGGAAGTTGTAGGTGGAATGATTGAATGCTAAATTTGAAATGTCGTTGAGCTGTTTATTTGTTAAAAAATTATAAATAAAATTATATATTAAAAATGGTTATTCCTTTTGGCTATAAGACAATATTTCGTGCTGGAAAGTGTGCAGGGCAGTGGGTTCAGAACAGCAGAGGCAGCCCAAGACATTTTTCTGAGGAGAAGGACCAGATCATACACACCATTATAAATTCAGAAGCTGACTGCCCTGGCAACTGAATCTTATTGTAATACTGGTGAGATGACAGCATCGTCCACTGAGGGCAGCAGGCTAGCGTTGGGGAGCGTGGCGGGGGAGTAGGCCATGTGACACACAAGTCTCTGTCCTCCAAAACTTTGCTACCTCCCTGCAACCAACTCCCCCAGCAGCTGCCTCACTCTGCCTAATGATAGGGGTGGCCCTGGGGTTGGAAGTGCCTAGGCAATTTTGATTGTTTTCAAGCGAGATCACAATCAAGGACCACTTCTCTCCATATGAGCCCACCCAAAACCTGAGACCATCATCTGAGACCCTTCTTCGTACGCCTCCTCCACAAGAGGTCCAGAGAGGAAGCAACACGGAAACAGACCTTTTGTGCCTTGGCTCCCCATTTGTGCGATGCTCTCCTTAGGGAGTTTTGGCTGGCGCCAGGCAAAAACATTCCTCCAACCAGGACTTTGGTGGATTAATATCTTATACCCTTTTAAATGTTTTTGTGGGAGAGGTTGGGGAGTTATTGGTTTGGGGGGGGGTTGTTATTCTTTTTTATTATGTATTTTGTGTGTTTTTTTCTTGTATGTTGTGAACTGCACTGAGATCTATACATGAATGGCAATAGATAAAATATTATATATATATATATGGCTGCAGCTCTATGCATAGTTACTTGGGAATTACTCTGTGGGATGCATCAGAGCATGCCGTAAATCTTCCGTTACATTTTCTTGATTATAAAGCAACGTCATTTAAAAAACAGAGGTTAGCATGCAGAAGCAATCTTGGTGGCATCTATCCACTAAGCTTCAGACCTTCCTTCCAAGGTCCAGCAAAGACTGGGAATGATTATTTTCCAGAGGAACTGTATAAAAGTTGACCAATTATTTCATCCTATAGCCAAGTCTGCTTTTGTTACTTTTCCGTTGCTTCGGTTACTTCTTGTTTTCAAACTCTGTTACCTGCTCTGAGCTTAGGGATATATGACAGTTAAAAATCTAAATAAATATTGCCAATGCTGTGCATTATAATCACTGAGAGTAAGATTTATGCTCAAGGGAAAACATCCCAGTTATTTGAATCATGGACTGATGAACAATTTCAGAACTTTACGGCCGTCTCCCCCTCCCTTTCCCCAATCAAACTACTATCCAATCAAACTAGCATTGCATAATCCAGCTATATCCTAAGTACTTGAGCAGTCAGTGGGTTCACCTTAATTCATAGGGGCTGGATAATTTTAACCCAAGACTGAGCCAGTGGAGAAAACATTGCAGGAGCCTAATGCCAGGCCATTTAAAAAATCAGAAAAGAATGCAAAAGTAGAGGAGGAAGTATGGACAACAATAATACTCTCCTCTAAATCGGCTTCCAAACGGCCTCAATGCTGATTTTATGTTAAGACACAGTTTGCCTTTATGATCTGCATGGATAATGAAGCAATTAACAGCCATCATATATAAAACATGCAAGTAGTCCATTAGATACCAAACAAACCATTAGCTATACCATGTGTAAGCTGATGTGACTGGATGGTTCCATACGCCAGTCCTGAAGGTTTGCCAGAGACCCTATTGGGACAGGCAGCAGTTGGTGTTATGTCAACTGCAACCCCCAGCTGCCAGTGACATATTTAGAGGTAGACATGGTTATGTATACAGCAAGTGGGGAGACCCTATTTTAGCAGGGCTTTCAATGCAAACCCCTTCGTGATCCTGGAGCAAGGCACAGAGGTGCGTTGCTCCAGCAAATGAACAATTGGGAACTTGTTTTGTTCTTTTAATTTGTTCTTTGCAGCAACCACTGGGGTAGGGGTCAGCTGCCTCCAAATTTGATTGTCTCAGAGATGCTGCAGGAGATAATGTTTAAACCATGGGTAGGCAAACTAAGGCCTGGGGGCTGGATTTGGCCCAATCGCCTTCTAAATCCAGCCCATGGACAGTCTGGGAATCAGCGTGTTTTTACATGAATAGAAAGTGTGCTTTTATTTAAAATGCATCTCTTGGTTATTTGTGGAGCATAGGAATTCGTTCTCCCCCCCCCAAAAAAAAATATAGTCCAGCCCACCACATGGTATGAGGGACAGTGCTGAAAAAGCCCCCTGTTGAAAAAGTTTGCTGACCCCTGGTTTAAACCCTTCCCCAGCACCAGCTTATTGTTCTATATTTGACTTCCATAAAGCTCCTGAAGCCAAGGCTCCAATACTTTAGCCACCTCATGAGAAGAGAAGACTCCCTGGAAAAGACCCAGATGTTGGGAAAGATGGAGGGCACAAGGAGAAGGGGACGACAGAGGACGAGATGATTGAACAGTGTTCTCGAAGCTACCAGCATGAGTTTGACCAAACTGCGGGAGGCAGTGGAAGACAGGAGTGCCTGGTGTGCTCTGGTCCATGGGGTCACGAAGAGTCGGACACGACTAACCAACAACAACAGCTGCTGTTGGTCCCACATTCCCCCTAACTGCAGCTAGCAGTTTCAGGGGGTGTTTTAGAATGAGAAAAACAGCATTGTGGAAGCCCATGTGATACCTTCCAGATGTTGTGGGCTACAATGCACATCACCCCCAGCTATGGGCCATGCTGGCTGGAGATGATGGGTGTTGTAGTCCACAACATCTGGAAGGTGACATAATGGCTACCCCTGGTTTAACCATCTTCATAGTATTTGGAGCTCCCCATGTTTTTTTCTTAACACACACCAAAATGGCAAATCAGTCACAACTCTCCCACGGATCATGTAATTTGGCTCCAGGGAAGATGAGCCTTGTAGCAGCCGTGCTAAATTGATGACCCCAGGACCATCTGTGAAACGGCCCCATTGTTTGAAAGCATTGAGAAGTTTCTACTACATGGATGGTACAAAAACACCCCGAAATGTTTAGCTACAAACTCCTTAATCCAATTTGTCATAGAGGAAGCACTTTCTCTTTCCTCCTTTCCTGGGAATCAGAATTCTAGGCAAGCATTCCTATTTATACAGGGTTGTGTTGTCCTCACACTAGACATGGAACAACAAATAATTTAAATAAATGAGGAATTTTCAATGGCCAAGGATCACCCATGAGAGCTCTGAGCTTCTGTTTGCAAAGAAACTTTGGGGGCTGGAAGTCATTCCTCCCCAGGTGTCCTTGACAGTAGAGAGACCCAGCAGAGCTCTTGCTCAGACTCGCATGCTTAATAAAACAGATATCTAAGATAGGGAGATGATTATTAAGGCAGGCTCTGTCCTTTATTAGGCCTTCTTTCAAACAAATACAAACAAGCCCTGTGAAAGTATCACAGTAAGGGAGGATGAAATTAAAAAGCCAAGCACAATGGCATTAGCATGAGAGGTTATGACAAACGAATCATTATTGTAAACAAATCCTAAATGCATGTAATCCACAAAGAAACTCTGAAACAATCCTTTTCCTCCATAGGGATCTGCTGTGGTATAGAATAATACAGTATCATTATAATAATATATAAAAAAGGGAGAGAGCCATGAGGCATATCGCTAAGAGGGAAAACAACATCAAAACATAACACAGAGAAGAAAAGGAAGCAGACGGTCTATTGTTTTTCTGCCCAGGGCGAAGGGAACAAAGAATTTTTAAAGAATGTTAACGTCATACCCCTGAGTTTGACCACAAGTGAAAATGACCTGCCTGGAACTTGAATGAGTCAAGGAGTTTTTTTTGTTATCTCCCCTTCTTTTATTGATGTGTGTTGTTTTTCCTCTGTGTACATGTGCATGCGCGCCACACAATTGTGTGAGCTCACCCCATTTATAATGAATCCAACCCAGGAACGTAATTTTACAAATGCACTTTTAAATTTAGAATGCTGTTATCATAAAAACAAAACACACACTGTGCGGGTAGTCAGCCTGACTTATAGCAGCTTGGTTCAACCTCGGCGAGATAACCAAGAGTAATGGTTTTTGATAATCAAGCCGCAGTATTAATATAACATGAACCGTAAATGCTTTTGTGCTGCAGCTCTGAGTAAGCTACCAAATCTCATTGGAATATAAAGGAGTAAAGCGGTATGGCTCTTTGTTTTCTCTCCTAAAATAAAGTGCTTCAGAGCTTTGCCATAGATGCTCCCCCCCTCCCGATCCCCAGGCAGATTGTGAAAGTATTTTCTGAAGTGGATTGCTCTATAGGTGAATCACTGATCCTCATGTTCACATTTCGCTCCAGCCAGAAAAGTGCTCTGCAAAACTTGCCTGTAAGGTCTTGTATGGCGGTGTTCAGATTCAGAGCAACCAGTGTGGTACAGTGTTTAAGAGTGGTGGACTCGTAATCTGGTGAACTGGGTTTGCTTCCCCACTCCTCCACATGCAGCTGCTGGGTGACCTTGGGCTAGTCTCTGAAGTTTCTCAGCCTCACTCACCTCACAGAGTGTTTGTTGTGGGGAGGAAGGGAAAGGAGATTGTGAGCCACTTTGAGACTCCTTAAGGGGAGTGAAAGGCGGGTTATCAAGTCCAAACTCTTCTTCTTCTTCTTCTAATGCAGGTCAGTTTTCACAGTGGGGCCTATCAGTGTCCACAAGATGAATACAGTGGTACCTTGGTTTACAACCATAATCCGTTCTGGAGGTCCACCTGTACACCAAAACAGTTGTAACCCATGGCGTGCTTTCGCCAATGGGGCCTCCAAAAAAATTTGTTCGTAATCCAAAAAAAATGGGTTGTAATCCAAAAAAAGTTTGCAGACTGGGACACACACTTCCAGATTGTTTGCAAACCAAGGTACCACTATACTACTGTTTCATAAAATATCAGGGTGGTGTACAGCAATACAAAAACATTCAGATTTTCCATTGTTTTGCTTCATGCTGCTTTTAAAGCATGCATTTATTTATTGTAAGTTGCTTTTAGTTACCGTATTTACTCGAATGTAACGCGCACCTTTTATAGTCAAATTACGTAGCGGAAATTAGGGTGCCCATTAGATTTGATGACGCATTTACATTCGACAGCAAATACTTTTTTGGGTTTCAAGGTTTTGAAAGCTGAGGTGCACATTAGATTTGATGGCACATTGGGTTCGCATAAATACAGTACTTTGGTACCAAAGCGACTAAAATGTTTAATAATAATGATAGCAACAACCTGTTAAAAACAGGACAAATTGATCATTGCGTTGACTGGCAACTCAATAAAATTTTAAACAACTGCATAAGCCTATTGGCATAACAAAAAGTCTTCAAGAGATGTTTGAAAGTCAAAAGAAGGAACGCCTACTGAATCTGTTGAAAGTATGTTCCACAGCATGGGACTGGGAACAATAAATACCCATCTTCTATTGAAGACCTGTTAGACCTCTGTTAGGTCAACTCTTGTTGACATCTCCAGGCTTCTAGTCTTATATATTTTAATCAATAAGTTGTTTGATCTACAATCTAACATACTGCAGTGCTTTTCCTGAACACTTTTATGAGTACTTTGTATTTATTTTTTAAAAACTCAACTTCTGCATTAATAATGGGAGAAGACAATTCCTTCTTCATCACCTTTATAACCTTGAAACTGTGTATGAACTAATGCAAGCATGTGGAAACTGTGGCCTTCCAGATGCTGTTGTATTCCGACTCCCATTATCCATGACACTTGGCTATACTGGCTGGGGCTGATGGGAGCTGGAGTCCGCAAACATCTGCAGGGTCACAATTCCCCATCCCTGGCCTAACGGAACTCATTCCAGCTGCAACCAATAGTGAGGAAAGAGCCTAAATTATTCCAGTTTTCATCAGGGGGGGGGGGCATGCTACTTGTAAGATTTATGGGATGTGGAGTTCAGCCTATCAAAAACAAAGGAGTTTTGATGAATGTAGCTGATTTTATATACATTGTATATACACGAACACCACACAAATGTTAATAGAATTATACTGAGTCAAAGCACAAGGCAACTATGAAAACAATATATTCCTAAGGTAGCAGTGTCACTACCACGTCATTTTCAAAGTAGATCTGTCATCAGAACATGTTCTGTTTCAAAGAACTATAATCTCTCATTAAGCTAAGCACTGTTTTACTGACCGTATTTTTTCCACATATAAAAACTCACATTGCTTATGAGGCTAATTTAATATCAGTGAGTGGTGTGGTACAAATTGATGACAGAGCTGCCTTTCTTGAAATCTCACATTTATTTCTTGCGGGTGGTGCATTAAACAGAGCTCCAACTCTTAACTACTTTTGATCATTAACGATCCCATGGCAATGTTGGTTGTTGGGGTTTTTTTGGTTTTTTTTTACAAGACTCCAAGTGTTAAATTAATCACATCAACCTGGTCAAATTCCAGCTCATGTAATCTTGCATTCCTAAAATTCCAATTTCAACTGGAATCATTAATTCTTTTTCTACAAAACATATCCAGAGGTGCAGTGCAAGGTTTATGTGGCTGAAGCAGAAAAAGTGGAATGATTCTTACCCAACCTGGAGGGAACTCAGTGTTATGTCAAACAGGCAACTTCTGCCAGCCATAGCCTACCCTTATTGTGATGATATGGCTTGGGACGTGGGTGGCGCTGTGGGTTAAACCACAGAGCCTAGGACTTGCCGATCAGAAGGTCGGCAGTTCGAATCCCCGCGATGGGGTGAGCTCCTGTTGCTTGGTCCCTGCTCCTGCCAACCTAGCAGTTTTTAAGCACGTAAAAGTGAAAGTAGATAAATAGGTACCGCTCCGGCGGGAAGATAAACGGCATTTCCGTGTGCTGCTCTGGTTCGCCAGAAGCGGCTTAGTCATGCTGGCCACATGACCCGGAAGCTGCATGCCGGCTCCCTCAGCCAATAAAGCGAGATGAGCGCCACAACCCCAGAGTCGGTCACGACTGGACCAAATGGTCAGGGGTACCTTTACCTTTTTATGGCTTGGCTTATCTCCCACCCAGCAACAGCCAGTAAAATGAGTAGGGGGGATGAGTTAAGAGTGCAATCCAAACCCCATTCCCTATAGTGGGACTTTGTGGAGCAACAGAACCACTGCAGAGGAAGATGGCGGGACAAAACAATTAGGCCACATCCTTGTGCCACCTCTGGCCTGGCACAATTGGGTACAAATCTGGCACAATATCATCTGGCATCAACAGCAAGATGATCTCAGGATCCCTCCTTGCCCTTGGAACAGCCATTTGGACTTCCACCAGTACACCTCTTGCACTGCACCCACAGCGGCCAGTGGGAATGTGGCTCAATCCAAACCCCTGTCTGATGTAAGAGGGCTTTGGGTTGCTCTGTTATTTATGGGTTTCATTTATAACGAAACTTTTTAACCTACCTTTCTAAGAACATGCTAACTCGAGACACCTAAGCTTTGTCAAGAACCATTTCAAACATAAGCAGAGCAAAAGAACAGCCAAAACAACAGAGTGGATAAGTCAAGGGCCTAATTTTACAGAGGCACAGCCTTTTTTTCTAGCCAGAACTCACCAGTATTCAGTTTGGGCACCTCTCAGGGGGTGCCATTGCAGTTATAAGAGAACAAGGGAGGCATTTGTGGTGAGTTCTGGCACTTTTTATTTGCTAGAAAAATAGCACTGCAAAGGATCCAACTGGATACAGTGGTTAACAACTTAATTCATTCTGGAGGTCCGTTCTTAACCTGAAATTGTTCTTAACCTTTAGCTAATGGGGCCTCCCGCTGCTGCCGCTGCGCTGCTGTTGCACGATTTCTGTTCTCATCCTGAAGCAAAGTTCTTTACCCGAGGTACTATTTCTGGGTTAGCGGAGTCTGTAACCTGAAGCATATGTAACCTGGAGCATCTGTAACCCGAGGTACCACTGTAATACCATTCTCAAAGCACATAAACAGTGGATCATGTAAATCTCTCTGGGAAGGTGTGTAACGCCCGAGTAAGGACATGAGTAAGTGATCCTAGTTGTTATACAAGGCATGGGGTGGTAAATCTGCATTTCCTAATTTCGACAGCGGCTATACTGTACATGCTATACAAGCCATTTAAGCATGCTTTTTTAAAAAAAGTGACATACATATAAAATGAACAAATGCTGTAGTTCCAGTACAATACTGGCATTTTCAAGACACTTCCTCCCCTCCCTCCCCATTAAGGCTCATCCGTGTAAGTTACTTCACCGACACCTCTGTGCTTTCAATCAGTTTTCAGAGTTCTAAACTTAAAACAGTTTCGCAGGACCAGTTTTCAGTTTGCCCCCATCTGCATCCAAATAACTGAAATCATTAAGAAGCATTGCAAATTGCATTAGCCACTTCATCGCCCTTAAAAAGGAAAGACTACAAAGGATGAACAAGGGAAGGGAATTACCCCTTACCCCAAAACAAACGAAAAACAGGGCAAGAGTCCACGCAGAAGAGAGATGTTATGGTTTGGCTTTGATTCTTTCCATAGCTATTGTTAAAACGACCATTGCTTACAGGTGTTGAGGCAGGGCAAAGTTTGTGTCCTTTGGCAGCGGATGAAAGGATACAGTCTCCTTTTGACGTGATGCAAAACATACTTTATAACTGGATACACTAGAAAGAAATTGTGGCGCCCTGTTCCAAAGTCAGACAAAGTAGCATAGATTTAGATCACTGGCATAATTTATTCTACTTCAAGGGGATGACCAAAAGTTTCCTTCAGGTGGTGTGGTTGCTGCTGAAACTGATAGCACTTGGCTTCCCAGACAGTCTCCCATTTGGTCACGGGTCAGACCTAGATTAATGCCTTTGGGGGCTTGGGGGCTTGCCCTGGGATGTTTGGCAGCTCATTCAAAGTTAAGCACTTTGAAGTCACCAAGGGTTAAATCGGTAGATCATACCCATTGAAATCAACTCGGACGTTTAGTCATGGCTAGTGATGTAAGAATGACCGCTCCCCGCATTAAACGGGGGGGCACCCTTTGCGTGGACACGCGCAGCCCCTGGACCTGGAGTGGCTCCATCAGCACAGGCTTGGCTTCGCCTTCCCTCAGGTGGGATACCTGGAGGTCTCTGCCTACCTCAGTCAGTTGTC